GGGGTGATCTGCTCCCTCCTCACGTGTACATGTCCTCTCTGTGGTGATCTGTTCCCTCCTTACATGTACATGTCCTCTCTGTGGTGATCTGTTCCCTCCTTACCTGTACATGTCCCATCTGGGGTGATCTGTTCCCTCCTTACGTGTACATGTCCCCTCTGGGGTGATCTGTTCCCTCCTTACGTGTATATGTCCCCTCTGTGGTGATCTGCTCCCTCCTTACGTGTACATGTCCCCTCTGTGGTGATCTGCTCCCTCCTCACGTGTACATGTCCTCTCCGGGGTGATCTGCTCCCTCCTCACGTGTACATGTCCTCTCCGGCGTGATCTGCTCCCTCCTTACATGTACATGTCCTCTCTGGGGCAATCTGCTCCCTCCTTTGTTCCTATGAAATTGTCTTACTCTGAGCTCACATTCTCCTTCCCTTTCCTATATGACACTTTCTCCAAAAAATGCTGCCTCATCTAGTTTTACTCATGTTTATGGAAGTTATTGTTCTAATGGCTGTTCTCAAAATACTTTTACACCACTCCCAAACCCCGTTGTTTCCTCGAATAGAGGGACTTCATCATTATTTCCACAGCTTAATTCATAACATCCCCATATCGAACATGACAAAGAGGTTTTTCCCTTTGTTACTAGGAAATTAGTTATTTATTGTGTTTCCATAAAATTCACAAATAATGTAAACAGGCTGTGTTATGAATTAATTGGTAGAGCATCTATTTCTGAGTGGGTTAAGGAAGTGCCAAGAGCAATCAAGGCTACTCTTCTCTCTCTGGCTTCAGATGTAGTGTTGACAGCCAGCAAAGAGCTTCTTCAATAAATCCATTCTCATGTTCAAGTTTTTCCAGATGTGAGAAATAATTAAGTCTTTGCATTCATTGGAGCTTTTTATGCTTTTCAGGCAGGAACTGGCAGCTGTGATGCATAAACTCAGCTTGAACGGGTGTGTTGCTTGGTGTATGTGTGAACATACATATATGTATACAAGCATACATGTAGCTTTTGCTGATAGTCAATGAGGTTGAACTTGAAAACAAAACAAAACATAAAGCTGATTTCAATGTATGCCAAACATTTGTACAGCTATATTCTGTAAGTGAGAGCTCTTTCTCAAATTATTCCCCCCTTTCTCTTTCTGCTGAACATTTTCCCCCCTTTCTCTTTCTGCTGAACATTAAAGAAATGAACTTAAGGGTTCTTAACTGTTAAAGGATATATAAACGTACACAGTTCTCATAAAACGCAAAGTAAATTTCAAATATTTTAATATATTAATGAACGAGGGCACTCACTGGTAAGATATTTCAGTTGGTTCAAAGGTGAGTTTGATGAGCCACAGATGCATGAATAATAAGGAGTGCTGAAATGAATTTATAAATAGATGCAAAAATGGTCTTTCTGTGAGGCAGTAATCAATTGCTTTTCCCAGGACACGATTTGCATTTCTGTGGCTAACGGTCCTTTGCAGTATTATTAATTTTTAACAATTTAGGAAATTGTAAAGTAGATTTATTTATTTATTTGTTTGAAACAGTATCTCCCTGTAGGGCCAGCTGGCCTGGAGCTCCTAATGTAGACCAGGCTGGCCTCGATCTCACAGAGATCCGCCTTGCGAAGTGTTTGAAAGCACTAGATAAGACATCATTGTTTTTTTGTATGTGCCAGTTTCAAAGTCTTTCACAATGATTCCTGACACATTTGACACAAAACTCTAGGGAAGAGATATTTTTGTAGAAATAAAGCTATTTGATACTATCTGACCCTCTGGTTCTGGTTATAAGCCATATGTAGACAGCTTACGCTATAGGGTTCTCTTGGTGGAAATTACAGAAAAGTGAGGACCCAATAACCTAAATTAGAGGCTTTATAGGGGAGAAGGGAGTAGGGGACTTAGGCAATTTTAGAAGAGGAATAAATGATTTTAGGAGAGGTAATTGGAGTTAGACAATGTGGTGATTTGAATGAGACTGTCTCCCACCTGCTTCAAGTATTCGAACACCTGGTCAGTTGATTGGCTCTGTTTTGGGAAGGTCATGGAATCCCTAGGACGTGTGGCCTTACTGGAGGAAGCACGTCACTGGGATCAGGATTTGAGGTTTCATAGCCAGGTCCCATTGCCAGTTTCTCTCTCTGATAACTGTCAGCTCGAGGGTGTGACTGTGTAGCTTTTTGCTCTGGCTGCAGCCTGCCGTGGCTTCACACCATGGTGGGCTCTTATCCTTCTAGAACCATAAGCCCAATAAACTCTTCTGCCTTGATCATGGTGCTATGTTACAGCAACAGAAAAGTGACTAATACACTTACACCCCTTTCATAGGGGAGAAGGAGGTAGAGAATGTCGGCAGTTTTTGTTGTTGTTGACAGATTCTCCCCAGTCCCAGCTCACCTGGAACTCACTTTGTAGACCAGGCTGCCTCGATCTCACAGAGAACTGCCTGTCTCTGCCTCCTGAGGGCTGGGATTAAAGGTGCGTGCCACCTACTCCTGGTGTGGAATGTAGGCAATTTTAGAGGTAATAAATGATTTTAGGAGAGATGGATGGGCTCAGAGATAGACAGTGGACAGGGATAAAGTTTGTCTAGGTTTTGGAGATGATGTCTACTCTTCCTTGCTTGATGAAATAGTAGGTGGAAGGCAATTGTGGTCCATTTTGGTGGAGTCCATTCTTTGGATAAATAAAGGAGCTCAGAGAAGAACCTCTTCCAACATCTTCTGACTCCCAAGTACCTTTAGTCTAAAACAGTCTGTGTTCCAAGACACCACATTTTAGGGTGACATCTCCTAGATGCCTTCATTCTTCACTCAGAACTGAACCTGATCTATTGTAATGTTTATTATGGATTTTCATATGCAAGTCAATTGTCACCATGTGGGAGAAACGCAAAACATGTGTTCTGTTAATATGAAGAAAAGAAAGGAGAAAGCAGTGGATTAAGTAGGGAAGATCTGTCAGCAAACGAGAACCATGCTGCACTCGTGACATTAAGGACGAGGAAGATGAGGCACTGTGGCGCTCACAATGGCGATACACACAGTGTTTCCTTGGCCAGGGACTCTGTCTCTTGAAACTGACATTCCCCACTTGGTAGTTGGTATGGAAATGTGCATGCTTACATGTACACATCAAACTGTACACAGTTCAGGAGACTTGAGTATCTTAATGACACAAATCAGCTCCTAGCTTTAGGCTGTCGGGTTGGGAAATGCTTTTCTTGCTCTTGAAAAGACCTTAATGATATAGATTCTCATGCTTTATAATGTGCTTTTCTTGTAACTGTGCACCTTTAGAGTAGCTGGAAGTTGTCCAAGTGCTTTCCTTTTATTAAATTTTGGCATTTCAGTTATACTGGATGCAGAGAAGGATTGAATGATTTGCTGTAGAGGGTGTGGTGGAGCTTTACGTGGATGGATGTCCAGGCTTTCAACACGAGGAACGTGATCCCCATCCTGGCCTCATTCTGTATCAAAGCACAGGGAGAGGACCAGAATAGAAAAGTGGACAACGTAAATGAAGTGTGTAAAAGTAGACAGGGATTAGCAACTGTACAGATAGTCCCTTTGGGGGGTACCCCGACGTGAAAGTGTGTAGCATCCATTAAAGTAGGTTTAAAAAATATGATAGGTAATGTTGAAACACAATAACTAACCACAAAGAACACATTTTTCTTATCCCCCAAGTCATATTTTAACGTTATTGACGGGAAAGCTCTGCTATGAGAAAGCCCAGAGCTTAAAATTTTTAGAAAAACTTGACATGAATTTTATATTATTCCCACAGGTGAAAAGAAAAAAAAAATGTATTCAAACCAAAGTAATGGTAGTTGTGGTTTGCCAGACAATCCATTAAAGGTTCATCCAGCCAGCTTTGAATGATGATTTCTTTCTTTCCTTCCAAAGTATGTTTTGTTCATTTTGTGTCTCTTATACCAAGTGCAGACCAAGCGTAGCAGCAGTCACTGGGGGCTAAGCAAGACTCTGGTTCATTTTTGATACCATATTCCATTGAATTACTTTGCAAATGAGACAGGGAATTCATTGTTCTTGGCTTTAATTTTGTCCTCTATGAAGGAAAGGGCTCTGGGTGGGTTTTTGTTTGCTTTTGCTTTTGTTTTATATGTTGAGGTCCCACAGCTGTCCTCAACAGCTATATAAACATTTGTGAGAATGAGCTCTGTGAAAACTAAGCTATGTGCTCAGTTCTCTTCTTACTTTTTATTTTGAGACAGGGTCTCTCTAAGTTTCCTAAGCTGGCCTGGTACTTTGTAGCTCCGGCTGGCTTTGAACTTGTGATTTTCATAGTCTCCTAAATAGCTGGGACTACAGGCTTTTGCTGCTAGGGTTGGCTCACAGTGCCTTCTTCTTTTTATTATTATTTTAAAAAATATTTTATTATTTTTGTTTTAGGGCCTGGAGAGATGGCTCAGCAGTTAAGAGCCATGACTGCTCTTGCAGAGGACCCAGATTTGATTCCCAGCACCCACTTAACTCCAGTTCCAAGGGAATCTGAAGCCCTCTTCTGACCTCCATGGCATTGCACGGCATGGGTGTACCCACATACATGCAGACAATACGCTCATACACATAAAAGAAAAATATTAAATAAAATATTAAAAACAAAAACAAAAAAGAAATTTATTATTTTTATTTTTTATGTGTATGAGTGTTAATGCCTGCATGCAGGTAAGTACACCCGTGTCCTGCAATGCTCGCGGAGGACAGAAGAGGCTGTCAGATACCTTGGAACTGGTGTTATGGACAGTTGTTAGCTGCCATGTGGGTACTGGGATTCGAACCTGGTCTTCTGCAAGAACAGTCAGTGTTCTTAACTGCTCAGCCATCTCTCCAGCTCCCACAGTGAGTTCTTAATGATCCCTGGAACTTTAAAATTCTGATTCCAAACTCTAACGAAAATTTGTGTTCGCATTGTACGTGGTATTGGGTTTTGCTTTTGAAACTTTTGCACATTAAATCTTGACAGATTATTGTTTTACAGCACGGTGAGGTGTCATCAAGAACTCATAGCATGATGGAAAATGGGAAGCCAGACACTGCTCAATGTTGTGCAGGTCACTCACCATGTAAACAGATGTCACCAAGAGCAGCACAAGCTGTGTCATCTCTAGGACAAGCCAAGAGGTGAGTTCTGGGCAGCTTTGGCAGGACTTTCTCTATCTACTTCTAGAAGTTTCAAGAAAAGTTTATAAAACTTATTTCTTCTTAAAAATTGTTTCTATCCTAGAGAAAGCTGTAGCAGGAGCTCTTCAATGGGATATTAGAATAACCTTTGTTTTGGTTTGAGCAGAGAACTTAAGGGAAACGATTATAGATCACACATCCTACTCTTTACGGGACAAGTACAATATATAAAGAATTCTCTGTGGGCTGGCGTGACATGGCCGTTATCTCAGTTTCCAAATTCCTGGGACAATTTCTTTTTGACATTTTACGGGTAACCAAATCTATGCTGCCATTAATTTGATCTGTATCAAACCTGAGAAAGCCCACAACTCTTCTAGAATGCAACATTTTGCCAGAATGGAGACTGTTTCTCATTTCTGGTTCACAGACTATAGCAGATACCATTAAGAAACAATGGTTAAGCTGTGTGTGGTGTTGCTTTTGTCCCAGCACTTGGGAGGCAGAGGCAGGTGGATCTCTATGAGTTCCAGCCTGGTCTAGTGAGGCCAGCCTGGTCTAGTGAGTTCCAGGCCAGCTAGGGCTACAGGGAAACCCTGTTTCAAAAAGGCAAAAGAAAAAAAAAAAAAAAGAAAGAAAGAAAAGAAACAATGGTTAAGCGGGGTGTGTTGGTGCTTTTGTCCCAGCACTTGGGAGGCAGAGGCAGGGGGATCTCTATGACTCCCAGCCTGGTCTAGTGAGTTCCAGGCCAGCTAGGGCTAAAGGGAAACCCTGGTTCACAAAGGCAAAAAAAAAAAAAAAAAAAAAGAAAGAAAGAAAAGAAACAATGGTTAAGCAAACCTTTCACTGCGCTTCTGATTGAGGGTCTTTGCAGATCTCTACCTGTGTCACTACGCAAAGCACTCGGCCTGGCAGGTAGAGAAATACTTCTTCAGGTTTCCCGAGCAGATTTGTTTAAGATCCTTGTTTTGTTGTTGTTGTTAATGTTTTTATACCAAGCATGGAGCATAATCTGAGAAATAACCTATGGTGGTTGTGAATAATGAGGTACTTGTTGGAATTTTCAGTTTAGGTAAGGAAAAGCATTTTTTTTCTTTAATAAATTAAAAAGATATGCTATCAAGAAAAAACTGCATTACACTTGGCCTTTTGGAATGGTGTGTTAGTTTGAATAAAGGTATATTTTGTAGAATTAGTTTTATTATTCACTATAATATCCACCATATTCACTTTTTCTAACACTGATATGCTGTAATTTTGTATAAAGCAAATTTCCCTAGATTTTAAACAGCCAAATTAATACACTGAGAGTTCCATAGTCTTAGAATTGCTTGAATTTATAATAAAGGATTTGTTGTGAGAAATTATTCCTAATTATATAACTAGTGTCACATCCTACACAACAAATATTATGATAGCTTAGTTTCCTGACCTTTTGAAGTGCATAGTACCCATTGAGAATCTAAAGACGACTAGTGAATTTGTCAAAATTCCGGCACTGAAAAAAATTCAAAGTGGATAATTCATTTTTTGAAATAGTTGTGTTTCTAGAATTCTTAAATAATATCAATACATATTAACTCCAAGTTCTCATGTTTAATGATGTTTATAATTCATACAATACAGTATTCCCTAATATGGGATTAACAGTCATAATTAACTCAGAATAGATTCTTTGAAGTGATTCAAAGGACTTTTTTGTAATAAATTACTAGCCTCTAATCAGCTAATACAAAGTGCATAGTTTTAGGGCTGTAAGAAGTACGTGACTGTCTCATAAAACATTTAATTTAGGTTAATGAAACGAATTTGTATGATCTAGATTCTGTATATGGAAGCAGCCGCGCTTGGCATTCCAGAGAAAGCTTTATTTAGACCATGTTGAGAAATCTTTGAGATAAAAGGTTTTGGGCTCGGGTATCTTGAGTGTTACAACAGAGTAGTTTTCCTAGAATCTTTAAGTCCTTTTAAAATCATTTTGTGAATGAATTGAATTAGTAAAAGATAAAGAAATTTTCTGTCTTGAATTTCTTAACTTGTTCAAAGAATGCTGATTTTAAAAGTTTGTAAAACTGAACTTTGCCCAGAAGATGTTAATTCACTTGTGAGGCAGGCCTTGGCAGCCCCCTGGGATCCCAGCTATTCACTCACACAGCACCAAAGATAAGGACAGTGACATGAGCCAGGCAGGGATAAAGTCTGGCAAGGTCTTGCTTCCAGGGCCCTAGCGACTCCGGAACTCAGGGGTGTTGTAGTCTATGCAAAGACACTAGACTAGTGAAGTTTAAAAGTCTTAATATTTTGACAGGGTAAAAACATGAGGGTCCCTGTATTAGAGGATGTGAAAGATGAAGAGAAGAAAACAGAGGAAGAGGAAAACGAAGAAGGCAATGTGAGTAAGAAAGAAACTGCCCAAAACAGGATGTAGCCTGACAGGTAGGAAGCCAAACTGCTCCTTTTCTCTTTTTGTCCACATAGGTATTCTTAAAACCTGTTATTGAAGACCTAAGCATGGAACTGGCCCGAAAGTGCACCGAACTCATCAGTGATGTAAGTGGCTTTAGTGAGCTTTCTCTTCTTTTTGCATTGTTTGCATGGAGTGGCTGTGTCATAGAGTCACAGGCCTAGGGACAAAACCCTCAAGTCATCTATTAAAACACAGTCATTTTCTAGGTCATGAAATTAGCTCCAGAAATTTTAAGTCATTTTCCAAGGTCACCTATGTAGAGAATTTCTCCTGGAGCGAATCTTCTCATTTTCAGTCTAGATTCTGTCTCTTAATGACTGGTGCCATCAGCCTGGCATGAAATCACAAGGCACTGCAACTGTCAAGTGCATTCATTCCGTTTGAGAATCCCCAAGAATTCAAAATTAGCTTAATGCTGTGATTTGTCTGGAAGGATCTTTAAATGAATCACTTTCAATATGGAAGACTGAATGATGTTTAATATTCAGAGGGACTTTGGAAGGAGTTGACGAATGCAGTCATTTTCCAAACCAAAGATATGCATATACCTTTAAATGCATCTCACATTTCTTTGAAATGCAGGATTTATAGATTAGTAAACTGCATGTTAAGAACCCTGATCCACGTGATGGTCAGTACAAAGGAATAATTTTGTTGTGACTTGTTTTCAGGAACCGGGGTCAGTTCATATTCCTTTTGAAGGCAATTCTAGAATTTTTTAGTATGAACATGACAGATGTGTAACAAATATATAAACCAGAATTCTAGAAACACAAGGAAAAGTATTTCTCACTAGGGATGTGAATTTTCCAGACCTTCATAAACTGATTTAAGAGAATTGCTGGTATAAAGAACATGGAGTTCTCTAAAATGCGTTTGCTTATGCCTTGGTTAGGGAGCTGAATGCAACACTGGTTGCTTCTGCTGTTGCTGATGAGCAAAGTTTGTTTCCTGGGCAGTTGGGTAGCATAGCAGCTAATCCTCCAAGGTCAACTTGCCTGAGTCAACTCAACAATAACCTTTGGAAGGTTATTAACATGGGTAGGCATAGCTCTTCAAGTGTAAGAATCATAATAGTATGATAAAATTTTGCTGCACATTGAAAATGCTGCATCTGTTCTCTGGGACATTGTGATGATGGGATAAATTGTAGTTGTTCTTAACTTTTATATCCTTCGAGTCTTGTTCGACATAAGATGGTGGAAGATGAAAGTATGTCTGCTTTCCATTGACTTGACATGGCATGTAATATAGTTAACATTTAAATTAGCAATTCTTTGTCTTATTGCTGAATAATAATAAGCTACTTCATGAATGTGGAAATTCTTTGTAAACTGTAATAACAAGATAGCAAGGACAGCAGTAACCACGGCACCAGTGGCAGGTAAAATTTATTGAGAACTGTATGCCAGGTACTATAGCTGGTGGGGTTGGGTCTTCTCTTTCCCCTATTTTAGAATGAAAGACATGGAGATTTCCACGCAAAGCTTTATTACTATTTATTTATTTATTTATTTGTTTGTTTATTTACATTTTGGTCTTTTTGAGACAGGGTCTCCCGGTAGCCCCAGCTGTCCTGGAACTCACTATGTAGACCAGGCTGGCCTTGAACTCACATGCCAACATTAAGGACAGTTATAACCTAACTCTGGAGCTAGCACCCCTTGCAGTTCTGATGTTTTTATTCAAGTATAATTATTGCTGAGCTGTAGCTTTAATTAGCGGGTGATTTACTGGAGTTGTTTTGGATAGGATTACTTATCAGTGACTTTAAAACCGGCTTGTAGTGAGGCCTTTTATCATTTTGTGAAAACAGAAGTCATGCAATTTCTCTCCCCTTAGGTGAAATAAAACATAGGGAGAGATTTTTTTCTGCTTATTATATATTTATGTTTTATGGAAGAATGTCTGCACTACTTAAATAGTTAGACCATGATTTTTATGACTTAATTTATGCCTGGGTACATGTTCACATTTTATTTCCTAGTGCAGTTTATTTCCTAATAGAATTTCCTAAAGAATACTTATTAAGATATTTGTTTTTAAATAATTTTCACAGTTATCAATAATGATTCTGAAAATTACATTAAGTTATAACAAAAAATAAAAAGAAGAGTTTACACAATCATTTTAAAGCCAAATGTTAAGTCTAGCGATATAGTTCAGTACTAAATTGTATCTATAGCGTGTGCCAGGCCCCGCACAAGAATAAAACAAACAAACAAAAAAAAACAATACCAAAAACAAAACTAAAAACTCAACAGATTCCTGGAAGGACTTGGTGCATTGCGCTAAATTAAACTTTCATCTTCTTAGGAGTTCCAGTTAGAAAGTAATAATTACTTTTTCTTCCTCCCCGACATCAATGGTTTTATGTGAAGCAAATGCCCTTAAATTTCAAATTCCTTTTTCATGAAAGTGCAACTTCTAAATTTGAAATGCTCATTTCTGTAATATTGCTGCATAACTAGAGGATTGTTTAAAATACATCAATCAGGGACCTAAAGCATAGATCAAACACACTGCATTGTCACACTGAATTAGACCTCTGTTCCAGGGGAGCCTGTATTGTACAGCATTTCTAATTTGTGCAGGTCTGTATTGGTGCCTCACAATTAATTTAGCCCACCACTCCCCCCAGTCACGTCAGATTTAAACAGAAGTCTTCAAATGCCTTAGTGGTGTTTTATAATTCGTCATGTCTTATTTTTACGTATATGTCAGAGCAGACATCTGTATAGGTTCACAGGTGTGCAAACTGAACATTGAGTGATGGTCCAAGACCACCACCTGCCCAGCAGTGTTAGTGGAGGGCCAGCCAGGGCCAGAGCTTGGCTAGTGGTCTCTTTCCACTATGTTTTCTACGTGGGCCTTTGGGGTTATGGGTTTCTTCTCAGAGAGCTGCTTTTCTGTACGTGCCTGCTTTGGTCCGATCACTCTTCTTTGGACTTCTATCCTTGTAGATCGCCCTAGGCATATCATCACCAGAACTGTGCACAACAATCCAGCAGTGGTTAGCCTGGGATTATGAGCAGAGAAAGGTGATGCTTTGCTTTTGCTCTCAGTGCTCTTTACAATGCTCTTTGGAACTTCTTGGACTTGGGGACATCGGAGCCATTTTCAATCCTGCTTTCTGACTTACAGCTGATGGCGTAGCCCAGTCATCTTTAATAGCAGTTTGAATGATTTTAAGCACACAGGGAACAGATCTAATAGCTACTTTCCTGCTTTCTTACCTGGCCTCTGAGAACTGAGGTTCATCGCTTTGAGCTTGCCATTTCACTCTGAGGAAGAGCTGGGGTCTTTGGCAGCCCTGGTGAGCTATTGTACCCATCCCCTGCCAGACAGTGTGTAGACATGTTAAGTAAACTGGCCTGGGGATTAGTCCTGGGAGACCTGCACTACTTGGAATTCTCCAAAGAGGGACATGTCAATTTTTGGGGTCAAGGGGCTTCACTTTGGGAATCAACAGAAGACAGTTTTCTTTCCTGTCCCTTTTCTTTTCCTCTTCGTTCTCTTTCTTCTTCTTGTCTTTTCACTTCTTGCTCACCTAGATTCTGCTCTGCACTTCAATTTCCGACGTCATAGGTTTCCCCTGCGTAACTCATATCCCGGTCCTGAAGGACACCTAGCCTCTTACTTTTTCTTTCAGTCATGTAACACTTTTTTTTAAAATTAAATTTTGGTTTATTTTTATTTTGTGTGTATGAGTGTTTTACTTGCATGTATGTAAGTGTACCCATGTGCATGCAATGCCTGTGGAGGCCAGAAGAGGGTCTTGGATTCCCTGGAACTGGAGTTATGGTCAGTTGTTAGCCACCCTGTGGGTGCTGAGAACCAAATCCCAATCCTTTGTGAGAGCAGTCAGTGCTCTTATCTGCTGAGCCATCTCTCCTGCCTTATGGAACACTTGTTTTTTTCATTTCCCTGACTAAACACTCTGATATTTCATCCTGTTTGTCAAAAACTTTATTAATTCCTGTGTAAATTAGATCTATTCTCTCTGGATCTGGGCGCCTTCTGGTAAATGATCATAAAAAATACCAGGCAAAAGGGGATCTTCTGCAGGCTTCAAGTCATGGAGGCAGAAAGAACCGTGTGTGGGGCCAGTTGGGCTGCATCTGCATGGGATTGGGCACTTTTTTTTCAGGCAAATGGATTTGTATGCTGTGAATAAATCCTCCCAGTGTTGAAAACATTAAATTCCACGGCTGCCATATGGAAAACCTGGAAGAGTGACCTTGGCTGTGACCTTCCAGTTCAAAAACAAGGGTGGAGCTGTAGTTTTTCCTCGGGGGGGGGGGGGCACTTCCAGAATTCAACTGGCATGTTTCCATTTGTGCAGAGACTTTCTAGATAAGCATGCATGTAAGAAGAAATAGTTGCAGACATTTCCACATTTCTCATCCACTTTGAGCATTTAGCTCATCTTGTGCTTCCTGAAAGAAGTGTGACCAGGAACAGGAAGCAACAGTGCACTAATTTCACTCTAATTGTAGTGGAGACTTGTGGGATTAGTGGGTAAAGCTGAAGGATAAAGTAACTGTTTGGGGCATCTTATCGCTCACAAAGCTCTCTACTTTGTCCTCACCTTTATTTTTAATTTGAAGATTTATTGTGCTCTTTTTTCTTCTGTTTTGTTTTGTTTTTCTGTTTGTTTTCGAGACAGGTTCTCCCTCTAGCCCCAGCGGGCCTGGAACTCATTATATAAAGCAGGCTGGCCTCGAACTCACAGAGCTGTGCCTACATCTGCCTCCTGAATTCTGGGACTAAATGTGCCTGGCTGGGCTGTGTGTTTTTTTTTAGTGCAGCTGGTTTGCAAGTGACAGCAAGACCCTAACGCAGTCTTTGATTTTCTCCACATATAGAACAGGGAGTTAGGTGGCTTCATCTCCACGCCACCATTTCCACTCTCCCTGGCTCCTTTCCTTCTGCCCTATCATCATCAGTGCCTGGCTTATTGCCTTGTGACATCACTGCTGCCACCTCTGACTGCTGCCACCTCTGACTGGGGAAAGGAAAAGATAAGAAAGCAGCATGCCTTATCAGAGGACTTCACAAAGCTTCCCCTTTTAGCCCACAAACACTAGACATTCTGTTGGGAAGATTTCCTGACTTACTTTGTGCTCAGAGCTACTGCTGAGCTGTTCCTTACCCCCTCTCGGACTAATCGGGGACTATGCTTGGTTTGACCAGTTATCCTTTGAGACAGGTCAAGTCCCATTCAAGTTCCATTGGTAGGAGGGACCGGGTATGATTGGGAGTCTCATAGATAGAGGCTGCCAGTTTGGAGTATAACCTGTAGACATGGTTGTGTTAGGAGATAACCATCTGTTAGGTGATTTATATCTTACCTAAACCTTGTATGTTTGCTTGATGTAGTTCATTTATCATTTCCTATAACCCTGACATAGGATGCCTCTGCTAATATGCAATAGACTTAATTTATATACGAACTTAAGAGCGTTTGCTTATTATCATGTGTGTTACGGATTTCACTTATAATCACACACAAACTCCTTGGAAATCGCACATACAAATGTATTACAAATTGTACACACAAATTCATTATGAATCACAGATGATGATTCATTGTGCATCACACACACAAATCCATAGAAATCACAATCAGAAACTCATTTGAAACCCAACACTAATCATGATGTTGTGTGATCTGTAATGAATTTTATAACATGATAGCAATTAGCAAATGACCTTAAGTTTTAAGACGCAACTCAAATGTAAAGATACATATGCACTCAACTTTTAAATTAAAATCAAAGAAAGTCACAGAGTCCTGCAATTAAGACTGAACTATTTGCCCATGGAACAAAGGAAGTAAATATTTCTCCCAGGGCGCCTGTCTTCGGCATTCAGCCCGTCAGGCATTTTCAGAAGTCCTGTAGCCATAGCACATACCATTGTGGTGAAGAATGTGATCCTGATGGGAAAGATGGTGGCAGAAGATAAAAATAATGAGGCAAACTTAAGCCTAATGATAGGCTATTTTTTTTCTCACACTTAATTATATAACAGGGATATTTCCCCCCCCCCATGATCAAAATAGCCTCCTATTTATCATACTGCCATTAACGATTTAATTACTAGTGACTGAGCGAGCGATTTGCAGGAACCTGAAATTATGGCTAATCTTTGAGAAGGAAAAAAGTAATTTAGTGCTCAGATAAGATAAATATGTTCTCCTGTTGATTTCATGAATAAAGTAAGTGTTTAATATGGTAGGCATGAGTATCTATGCATCACAGCAGTGAAATAGGGAATTTTGAAAATACTATGTTTGTATCTAGTTACACCTCAGGTTAGGTCAGGCCTCTCAAACCAGGTTTGCATATGATAAAGCCGCCTTGGAAGGTTAGTTCGTAACATCAATATTAATCATGCCTTCTTAAGAACTGGGTAGTGTATACAAGTATGAGTCACTTTAGGATTATAATTAGGAAGACCATATAATTTATCATGTGACCTGGGGCATTTTTTCTAGCTTAAGTATTTATAGTCTTGGATAGATAAGCATAATTTTATTGCAGGATGGTATAAATTTTAGCAAATTACTGCCATCTTCTTGAACTCATCTAAAGTCTGGCCTACCCAGTTTTCAGACCGAACAGCAGTTAGCATCACAGCAGGACACTGTTGGCTCATCTCCATATTTGCTGACTTCTCTTGGACTTGTGTACCCAAGTGGGATCTTACCTCAGGAGAATAATTCTGGCCTCTCCCCAAGTAGAAGTGAGTGACTCATTTTATCAGTGAATTTGAGAGAACTGAACATGTCAGCTAAGCCCCCAGAAGGCTTTCTCTGGTGGATCTGCCCACTCACAGCAAGGGGGCATTCTGGAATGATCTATACCACCTGGCAAGCACTCTGATTCTGGGGAGAGGAGGATGGCAGGCAGGCAAAGATTGCTGATAAACTGGGTGAATTTGATCTAGGAGAACTAATTAGCAGTGGGATGCCCATCCTTGTAATTCAAGCCTTTTTTTTCTAATCCAGCCTGTAGAGGTCAGAATGCTAAGAGTAATCTCCACTTGTTTAGTTTCTGCTAGTACATCTTAACGTTATTACATCTTTTTTGAGGAAGGCTTGTCTAACTTGAGGTAAGTAGCTGCTTCTGTGTGATCACAGGCGTAACTGAAGAAGCACCAGTGGACGTGAAAGGCAGCTTGTTTGACAAACAGGACCCAGAGTCTGTGGTTAATATTCCCAGGGTTGATACTTTCCAGTGTGTGTGTGTGTGTGTGTGTGTGTGTGTGTGTGTGTGTGTGTGTGTGCGCGCGTGCGCGCGCGCGCGTTGGTGTGTGAGTGCACATATTTCTGTGCCACTGCACGTGTGTGGAAATCAGAAGACAGACAACCTTGGGTGTAGGTCCTCACTTTCCACCTCGTTTTAGCCAGGGCTTTCCCCCACCCTCACTGGCCCATGAGCTTCTGGGATTCTCCAGTCTATGCCTCCATCTCCCTGTAGGAGTGTGCTGGGATTCAGACGCTTGTGCTATCCACCAGGCTTTTTATGTGGGTGGTGGGGATTCAAACTCGGGTTCTCTTGTTTGTGTAGCAAGCACTTTTACCCACTGAGCCATCTCCCTACGCTCTACCCGAGACTGATCCTTAATAACGACTTGACGCTTGCTCTTTGAAAGTGCAGCCCTCCCTCATGGCGCCTCATCACCTGTGGAACCCTGCCCTGGATTTTTGCCCACATTTCAACATCTACTTCAGAAAACAGACTTTATTAACTTAACTCTCTGTTCAGAAAAGGCCATTACAGTGGTTTTCTTATGTCAGTTATTCTCCTTTTTAGATCCATTATAAAGAAGAATATAAAAAGTCTAAGGACAAGTGCACATTTGTGACTGATACGCCCATGCTAAACCATGTAAAAAATATCGGTGCTTTTATTTCTGAGGTAAGATCTCAAAAGCTACAAAATTAACTATGATTTCTTTTTTGTATTTACGTAGATGAAAATATACATTATATTTGGAGAATACTGCTAGGCCTGTAGTGGTGCACACCTTTAATCCCAGCATTTGGAAGACAGAGACAGGCAGATGGATCTCTGTGAGCTGAGAGCAGCCTGTTCGACATAGTGAATTCCAGGTCAGCCAAGGCTACATAGTGTGACCCTGTCTCAAAACAGAGAAACAACAGCAAAAATAAGGTGGAGAATAATTTTGAAAGCACCACTGGATTTTCTAATTCCGTGCATGATGCTAATACCTGTAAATTGATTTTGCTATATATGATTGATGCATTTTATTGTATAATATATATATAGACTCTAGTCTTTACTTTTTTCTTTTTTGGCCTTTTTGAGACAGGGTCTCCCTGTAGCTCCAACTGACCTGGGACTCACTGTGTAGACCAGGCTGGCCTTGAACTCATAGATCTGCCTGCCTCTGCCTCCCGAGTGCTGGGATTAAAGGTGTTCGCCACCACACCCAGCTTTTCATTTCTTATTTATATAGAATTACTCTTGAAAATTCGTATTTTTATTCACTTAGTAGAAAGGTTTTCCAGCATAGTTGATTTTAGGAGTTCCAAATTATTCATTTCCTAATGGACATATTTTAGAGGGAAACAGTTGAATACGACTTTGGAAATAAGTTTTGCTAACTGAAACTATAAAGTGTGGTATCTTTGACATATACTTTTAAGCTAATTTAAACTGTTTTGGAGTGGAATAAAATTCATCTCAATGAAGGTGCTTATTTATAAAGCCAGGGTCAGAAAAACACTTATTTCCAGTTGAAAAGCCATGTAGCCTTTTTCTGAGAGCATTTATTTAGTACAGGAAATTCACACTGTATCACAGAGCACAATGCCAACAATAATTTCTATGTTGAGGTATTTGCATAGTCTGTGAATAAACTTGCACTGTAACTGACTGACCTCTAGTGTTCTCTAAGTTATATTGGAAAGGACTGTCTACCAAGTGAAACATTTTTTCTGAAAACCAGTCCATTTTCCTTTCTTATTACCAACATCCGTAGCTGTGGGGACAAAAGGCCTACACAGGATATGCACTCCATCAATCAATACCCACAGCACCTCTGCGTGGGGAGGGACGTCCAGGTCTCATCCACAGAACACAAAGGAACACAGTTTTGTTTGCTTGTGTTAGCTGTGTTATTTCTCCTGTGCAGAGAAATTCTTGATGTTCTCAATTTGTGATTGATTAATTTTCCTGAAGGAGTTAACTGCAGAATGAAAAATTGCAAGTAGGTGATCGATTGTGTTCCCTTGAACCTAATTTTCTCAAGAGGAAATGGTGACTAAGTGTTTGTCCTTTCAAGTAATGATGGAGCTCACTCACAGCCCCCCCCCACACATACGTACACACTCTCAAATACATAAGAACAAATACAAATACATAAAAGTACACACATACATATTTACATACAAATACACACAAATATATAAACATATCAGTGTGTACACAAATACACACTGACAAATACACAAATATGTACACACACCCAAATACATACACCAATATGTCCAAATATACACCCACATGCATACACACACCCACAGAGCAAATGAACTCCCACCTACCATAATGGCAGAAGAAAGCTCTAAAGGCTTGAATAAAGAAATAATAATTATTAATTGTACATATTTAAAGGATACAATGTGACAGTTTTATATGTGTATACAGTGTGTTATGATGAAATTAGAGTAACATTTTATCTCCTTAAGCTTTTCAAATAATTTTTTTTAGCAGATAAAAAAATTATGCATCTTTCTGGGATGCAGAGTGATGTGCCTTGTAAGTGATAGTACTGAGCAAATCAGGGTAATCTCCTTTTCTTTCTCCTTGTCTTTTGTGTTTGGAGCCTTTGGCCCCCACTTCTAGTTATTTATAAAATAAATAATAGCTTTTTGTGTGAGCTACGGACACCCTATAGTCCTGTAGAGCACTGGAAAATATTTATTGTACCTGATTGTCTGGGTGCCTGTTATCTAACCTCCCAGCCCTCCCAGCTTCTTGCTGCCCTACTGTTTGCCTTTGGGTTCTAGACAGTAAATTTTAATGGCTTGTGTTTTGTGGAACAGCTCAGAACATCTCTCACTATTCTGAGACCAAGCACACAAAACTATCAATACACAAATTTTAGAAATGTGCACAGTTCAAACAGGAACAGTCCATGTGTTCTAGTGTTTCTCGTTCAAACTCTCTCCATGATAAACTGGATGTATTTCTCTCTTTCAGAATATGCCGGTCAGATTTAGTATTATAAATTTAAACAATCTACAGCTTTGACAATCAATTATGTTTTAAAAGAAAGTTTTCTTTTTATATTCACCGTAGTTAAATTTATTTTCCTTTTTCTCCCTAGGCAAAATACAAAGGTACCGTCAAGGCTGACCTTTCCAACTCTCTTTACAAGCAGATGCCAGCCACCATCGACAGTGTCTTTGCAAGAGAAGTGTCCCAGCTCCAGAGTGAGGTGCGACTCTTATGTTGTTGTGGAGTTGCAGAGATCAAGGCTGTAACCTTGTGGAAGTTATTTGGCACTTTATAAGCATTATTTGTTTTTTCTTGGTAATCACATACTGAGTGTTAAGTTTGAATCAACTGGTTCATATGCTGCCAATAATCACTGGTGAAAAGGCAGAAAACCGAAAGGACCTACAAGTCTGTGTCAGATGCCTTTTCTGTTTTTCCAGATCCTATTCATTGCTGTTTAAGGAGCCAGTTCCAGTGCCATTCAGACAGTTTACACAGATGGAATTTTGATGGTAACCTTTGAATGAGCCTCTGATTTAATGGATGATCCCCAAGCCAGAATGTTTTAGCACATTTTAAGAAGACAAGCAAATAGGTGATGGTTTCTTGGGGCATGTTCAGGACCAGCTCCCTCTGTTAGACACATGCTCCCTGAGTTTCCTACTCTGTGGCTTAGGATTTCCATTTAGGAAATCTCCAACCTCCACTCAGAGACTCCACAAGGTGGTATAGCTATTTTAGTGATTCCAAGTTGTAGACAAACGCAAGAGCTGCCATCACTTAAACTTACTTTGAGACTATGAGTGTAGGGGTGATTTTTCCTTCAATTACATCAACACATGAAGCAAACTTAATGTACTTTGCCTCTTGACTATTTTACAGCAGATTTCCAAACTAGAATATTTCAGTGATTTCTGGCTTATTTGTTTTCTTCACAGCACAACCTGACTGTTTCTAGTGCTCTAGTTTCTGTTAGTTGTCCGTCTGAGCTCCACGAGAGGAGCCTCATCTGCCTTGTCCCCTGTCCTGCTCTTGTGCTTGAAGCACTCCTTGGCACTTAGGGACTGTCTGGTCAGTACTCGTAAAATGGAGTTCAGTTGAAGCTGTTGATTGCCTTCCTGAGGACAAGCTTCCATCTGCTTATGTTCACATGAGCAGTGTAGGTTTGTGACAACACACACGTGCTGTTCTACATATGTCACAACAACCCCAAGAGGAATCCCCATTGTAGAGCTGTAGAAAGAGGTCACACAGTCCATAAGTATCAGAGACAGACCACGAACAGGTTAGTCTGGCTCTAGAGCCTGAGTCCTTAACATCAACAACACTTTTATCTTTCCTGCCATCTCTACTTCTCATTTTCTTGTTAAACAAATGTATTTCTTTTTCAAAGAATTATTTTAAACAACTTTTGAAAAACAGTCTCACATCGTAGTGCAGGCTGGCTTACATCACTATTCAGCCCTGGTGGACTTGAACTCACAGTCTTCCTGCTTTGGTCTCCTAAGTGCTAGTGTTATAGCTTATACCACCATGCCTCGTTTAAACAGAGTTATTTCTTTCTCTAGACTATTTTAACTTTTAAGTAAAAATACCTTGGATTTCAAAATAATAAAAAATGGTTTACTTGTGAAAAATACCAATAGCATCACAGAACATCTTTAAGTAATTATTATAAATTTAAGCATCTGCTGTGTCCCCAGCTCGGCAGTGAGTTTATCTCAACTATTCAAGATGAATCTAAAATTATGTGAAGTCAAAGTTCTTCAGGGCTGACAAGAATGCCCGTCATTTGTCCTATCCGCACCTGGCGGTTAGCTATTGCTGATGTGCTTTTAATAAAGCATATCACTGCAACACAAAACTTGATGGAGGACAAGCGACAATTATGCAACAAAGAAAGAAAAGAAGAAAATACATTCTTATTTTTGTATTTGGGAAGATAACAGTTTTGGATACTCACATTCTAGATTTTTGAAGTAGAAAAGTTTTCTCATCTTCTTCACAGGTTTATAGTATACCAACATTTGCAATGTGGAACACAGCATGAGCAATATTCATATCAGGTATTTTGGAATCTGCCAACATTTTTGTCGGAATGATTTACTTCAAACATTATTATCACGTTATCCCGGGATAGGTACTGTAGGGAGAATCTGTATGCACTATCAGTTACAAATGCTTCCTATCGTGATTAGCCTCTGACTTATCCTCAGAGAAAAGCCTGGATTCTAATAAGGTGTCCATTTCAAAGGCTGGTGTCATAATAATGATTCTTTAGATTTATATGCATCAAATGTGTTTTGTTAAAATTGTGATTCTGAGTTGACCTGGAAGTAAAAGGCAAGAAAGTAGGATCATCTGCAGTGTCTGTGCTGAATAATTCAATGTGAACTGTGTTCATGTCATAGCAGAGTAGTGATAATCTAACTTAGAGAATTAGAGGAATTCAAAAACACGCTAGTGTTCTGGGTTGTGATGAACGTCTCCTAAACGTGCGTTTGTGCATGTGTGGACCTGTGCGTGTATGTGTGTGCATGCATGTGTGCACATGAACATTTGTGTGCATGCATGTGGAGGCCAGAGGAGAAGTTCTAGTGTCATTTCTCAGGCACTGTCCACTTTGTTTTTTGAGACAGGGTCTCTCACCATCTTGAAACACATCAAGTAGGGTCATCTGGCTGGCCAGTGAGCCCCAGGGATCTCCCCATCTCTACTGCCCCAGCACCGGAATTACAAGCATCTTACCATGCCTGGCTTTTAAAAAATATATTATTTATTTATTTCTATTTATGTCTATGAGTGTGTTGCCTGCGTGTATGTAAGTGCACCCATGTCATGCAATGCCCGTGGAGGTCAGAAGAGGTGCCAGATTTCCCTAGAGCTGGATTTATGGATGGTTGTTAGGTGCTACATAGGTTCTGGGAATCAAACCAGGATCCTCTGCAAGAGCAGCCTGTACTCTTAACCACTGAGCCATCCCTCCATCCCCCATGCCTAACTTTTAACATGGGTCCTGGGGATCAAGCTCAGGTCCTCATACTTATACAACAAATATCTTAGTAGCCCTCCAGCACCCACTTTCCTAAACTTTCACCAAACTATTAAAACAAACTATTACAATCAGTTTGCACACATTCTCAGATGCTTAAACTTGTTGTCAGATGGTGCTATGAAGAAAACAAAATAATGAGGCAGAAAGAAACAACATATATTAGTTTGGAATTCTGTTGTAAGAAGTTCAAGAGATGGAATGCCTTATGTGTTCATGCACTTGAAGAAAAAAATTACCCCTTCTCTCCTGGACTAAAAATGTTGCTTGCATTATGGCAGCTCTTCTGTTTGTCTGCAACTCGGAATGCCTAAAGTAGCTGCTTTCACCTGGCAAACTAGCACGAAAGCTAACAGCTGCTTTATATTTCCTTACATACAGTGGCTGATAGGAGGAGATAGCTTTTAATGAAGAGAGTTGTGATGGTCATTTTATTAGCTGTATTTACAAATGTATATGAAACCCCCAAATGGAATGGCGTATGCCTTGAAGTGATGGGCCCCTTACCTGCATGGCTGTCTCTAGGCAAGGGCCACATAATCCCACATATAGACGTGATAAAGGCAGTGTGGGCATTAGATCTAAGATTTATTTCCTTTTATTTTTTAAAAAATATTTTATTTATTATATTCATTTTATGTGTACAAGTGCATTGCATGCTTGTAGGTAGGTGTACCTATGTTGTGCAATGCCCTAGAGGTCAGAAGAGGGTGTCAGATCTTCTGGAACTGGAGTTACGGAGGGTTATCAGCCACCATGTGGGTGCTGTGAATTGAAACCAGGTCCTCTGCAAGAGCAGCCAGTGCTCTTAACTGCTGAGCCATCTCTCCAGCCCCTAGAACTGAGATTTGTGAGAGTCTATGTCTGCACGGTTCTCTGTCTGGAGTTCGTAGATGTCTGTCGTATGGGACTAAAGTACATTTTTTTGTATGGAGCTCATAAAATAGACCATAAGTTAAATCTCTCTCTCTCTCTCTCTCTCTCTCTCTCTCTCTCTCCTCACACACACACACACACACACACACACACACAGATATAAACATAATAATGCCAAATGTGTCAAACGGTGGAAAGAGCATTCCACTTCAGGTGTGCAGCTCCGTAGCAACCTGAGTTTTCTCAAAGTGTGAAGAAAATACTTGCAATCTAAGGAAATGTTACATAATAATGACAAATACTTGAAAAATTAAATTTATCAGAAAATGTGTAAGTTTGACATCATTTTCTATTAGCTATTTAAAGGAAGAAAATTAATATGATAAAGTTCAGCTGCCTCCAATTTGATGTAAGCTCCGTTCTAAAGCCATACTTAGCAGCAGCTATAAATGAACTGACTGAATGCTGCAAGCAGAAAATGATGTAGCATCTTTAAGAGTGTTTTAAAATTGTACTTGATGAGCCACTATTTCTATGATAACTCATAAAAAGATCAGCTGCATTGGTTATGTTTAAAAAGTCACAAATATGATATTTAATTTAAAATATACCAGCCAACCATCAAAAAAAGAGACTGACATATGCTAGCTCTTTTCATTTAAGGGGAAAGAACAATTCTCATAGAAATTTTTCTTGGATTTGTATAGCTGGCCACCCATTAAACTCTTCCTTCCTCCCCTCAGAGGTATAAAATAAAATGTAATGTAGCTGATAATGGACTTGTCAACCGGTGTGGAGGTTCTTAAAGGTTTCCTGTTTAATGTAATGGTTGAGAATGTAAAGATATGTATCAGACTTAACTATCTTGATGGAGTAAACTGATAGACATGCTGTAACAAGATGAGTTATACTTGAATGTATGAAGTGCTGCATTTGTCTTGGTAATCAACTAAATCTGCAGAATTGGATATGGAAAGCTGGATGGACAGGACTGAATCAGATGTCAGTGTATTGTCAGAAATCCCTACACAGCCATCTAAAGAAAATGTCATGACCTAAAAATAGCGTTGAACAGTTGGAAGAAGATAACCTGGATTTAATTAAATAATTCGCATAAGGATTAAGTCAGCCATTGTGGGTACCTTAAGAAAGAGATGGCTAAATTAGGAATTGGCTCTTGGGAGCATCTTGGGGTGTGTGTAGGAGTTCAACCCTCTAATCCATGTAGACAGTATGAAGGCTTGGAGACACTGGTCTTCCCACATTGGAAGTTTCTGTGTTGTAAGCTACGCTCTTCCTTTACGGTTATATAGATACAGCTCTGGGGACATAGGTTAGGGGTTGGATTAAAGACCTTTCAACAAAGCTTTCAGTGTTTAGAGAATGTGATGGCTCAAATTGTGTTGTCCTTTGATAGAAGTTCTAAGAAAACGCAAATGTAGAGCCAGACAGGGGAAATATAAACATTGAGAGTTTTAGTAGGTGGATTTTATAAAAATGTTAAGATTCAGTGACCATTTATTAAAAAATAACTTATGGGCTGGAGAGATGGCTCAGTGGTTAAGAGCACCGACTGCTCATGCAGAGGACCCGGGTTCGATTCCCAGCACCCACATGGCAGCTACAAACCATCCTTAACTCCAGTTCCAGGGGAATCCAAAGCCCTGTTCTGACCTCCATGGCATTGCACAACATAGGTGCACTCACATATATGCAGGCAATACACCCGTACAGAAAATAAAAATAATAAATAAAATATTTTTAAAAAATAACGTACTTATTCCAGTAATCCTTTAGGTTGATATATTATCATAGTTAGATGGGTAGCCAGTTCTGCTTATAAATGCCTATGAGGAGTCTCAACTGCATGAGGATACTGAATAAATTCATTTGTTCATCTATTTATGAAATGTTTATTACATTTCTGCTGTGTTTTGTTCACTGTGATAAGCACAGGATATTAAAAGATGTGGAAGATAGCTTTCAAGGAGCTCATATTGGTAACAAATTCTTCCTTAAGTTTAACTATATTCTTTGTGCTAGAAACTAAACTTTGTTTTGTTCTTGGTCAAGATCGTCCTGATTTTTCTTTTTAACCTGATTTTATTTTCTTGTACCAAATAATTTCAAGTCCACTTAATATTCTTGTTATGACTTGACTCAATGTATATTGAAATAGATTTTGCCTTTCTTTCTCCCAATTATTATTGTTCTCACTCATTCCAATACTCATTTGTTAGTTTATTGGTCAGATATTGATGCTAATTTTTTTTTAATCAGACACTATTTTGGGGTGTGAGTATTCAGGGAATTGGACAATCGTGTCCTCCAGTAAGGGAAGTCGGATAAGATAGGTCACTCTATAAAAGTTAAACAGCAGTTAAGAATTGTGTTGGGGCTGGAGAGATGGCTCAGAAGTTAAGAGCACTGACTGTTTTTGCAGAGGACCCAGATTTGATTCCCAGCACCCACATGGTAGCTAACAACTGTCTGTAACTCTAGTTCCAGGGGATCCAACACCTTCTTCTGTCCTCTGTGGGTTTTGCATGACCTGGGTGTGCTTACACACATGCAGGCAATACACTCATACATATAAGTTAAAAATAATAAATATTTTTAAAAAGAATTGTGAAGGAAATGACAACAATAATGGTAAAAGCTGAGAATACAGGAAAAATTTCTGATCTTCAGTTCCCATCTCTGTTGTCTCATTTGGCTACATGACCTTCTGAGGCACCTTTGTCATGCTCTCTCTCCAAGCTAGCGAAGAGCAAGCTGAACATGGTGGTAACAGACAGCATTGGGATGATATCTTCCATAATGGAGGACAAGGCTTGCATATCTGAGACTATTGCCTGCATTTAATGAAGATTGTAGTATCATATCTCATATCATACCTATGAATCAGTTGTGTCTGCCTAAGCCAGAGCCTTTCACCTAAATGTAAGTGCCTCAATTTTAAGCATCCTATAACATGAATTTAAACATTCCCCTCCTTTTTGCCAGTTGTTCTCAAAACTCAAACTCTGGACGTTCATAACCCTGCAAGCTCTCAGATACTGAAGATTTCCCCAAACTGCAGCAGTATATAAGATAGATTAATAAAACTGAGAATGATTGTATCTTTGGCTCAAGAATATTTTGAAATAAGCTGCATATGTACAGTAATGAACATAGGCTCAAGCACCAAGATGAGAGTATTATGGGTATTACCTTGTAACTCTTAGGAAATTTCACTGGCAGCCATGGTATTTAAATCCACAAAATCTGAGCAAAACACAAGAACTTAACAGGTAAGAGTCGAACACATCTCTAAGGGTGGGGTCTAATCCTTATGTGTTTTAAAGGTTGCCTACAAGCAGAAACATGATGCTGAGAGAGGATCCTCAGATTACGCCCACATGAAGGAGACACCCGAGGTCAGACACGCCATGGAGGTCAACAGACACCAGAGTAATGTACGAAAATTCATTCCTTGTGATTTTTGGGAAAAATAATGAATTTAGATTTATTTTGTTGATATTACAATATCATGACACACTATTCAAATATTTGAATTATTTGGATGATTGTCATTAGAACCTTTGTTGAATATCTTTAACCTGTGGTGCATCTTCAAGCACTGAAAATTGTGCTTTGAATGAGACAGACATGGGTTCTGTGACCGTTTCAGCTGTTAGCATTTCTTGAGCTTTCTTGACTTGATTTGGAAGTTCGTATTTCCAGTCTAAAATGGAGGGGGACCTGGAAGGAAGAACAACCACCATCAGTGCCCCCCGAGAAGAATTACAAACACTAGGTTGAGTACTCCCCACAGCCCTCACTTTTGGAATGCTTGTGCATTAAATATAAGCCCCATCAGATGTGAGCTATATGAGTAAAGATTTCTGGGGTTGGCAAGATGGCTCACAGTTAAAAGCCCTGACTGCTCTTGCAGAGGACCCGGGTTCGATTCCCAACACCCACATGGTGGCTAACAACCATCTGTAACTCCGGTTCCAGGGGATCTGACACCTTCTTCTGAACTCCCTGGGCATTGCATGACACAGGCAATACACTCATCCACTTAAAAAAAAGAGTAAAAGATTCCTAATGACTTAGAAGCAGAAACCAAAGGGGACGAGGCTAGCCAAAGACAACAAATTTCTTCTTTCTTTATAAGTTTATCTGGTCCCTCAAGGTTTCTATGCATAGTCTTAATTACCACACTATTCTGGTGGCCTGGAAAGATAATTTCTCCCTGAAACTATAGCAAAATTGTAGCAGAATTATGAATTTTCTGTGCTCCAAAAGAAATGTATGAACTATTAGTCTGGGATAGGTTAACATCAACTTAGATGCATTGTGTTCTAAGTGAGTCAAACAAAGTCCTTTCTTAGAAAAGTTCCTAAGCTTTTTGTCATTTCACACAGAGTCTGTCCCACTATATGCACCTCTTTGTAAGGTCTGTATAAAATCAGAGCCTTCCATTTAAAAATAATTTACTCAGCTGACTGTGTCTCAGGGTGCAGCAGTACAAAGTATCTGTGTACTAACTGTCTTTTTCATCTCTGTCACCAAATACTTGACACAAACAATTTATGGGAGGAAGGATTTCTTTTGGTTCATGGTTTCAGTGGGTTTTCAGTCTATCACACTGTGGAAGACGTGTTGGGGGAATGACTCTGTCCATGGTGGCAGAAATGTGAGACATGAATGTTCACATGGTCTCCGACAGGATGTAGGGAGAGGTAGACTGGAACCAAGGATGGATGGGACCTTCAAAAGCCACTCCTAACTGACCCACTTTTGCCAGCCAGGCCCCATCTCCTAAAAACCCTCAAACAGAGCTCCAAGCTGGTGACTGAGCAGCCAACATATGAGTTTGGGCTCCAATTGCAGCAATTTCTTTGCATGATGTCCACAGTTATTTGATATTAAATTGCAGCAAGTCAATGTTTAAGTGAAAATCATACTGGGGTTTGACATTCTGAGCCAGTGTAAGCCACACCCACTATCAGATGCACTCTTTGGAGATGGCTTAGTACTGGGGGCGCTGAAGAAGCCGTGTGTCTGCAATTGTTTACAGAGCTGTTATTTTAAGGAAAGGTTTTCTAAGAACTGTTTGCTTATAGAGAGATTATAGTAGTCAAAACTATCACTTATCCAGTGCAGGCATGTACTGGCACTGTGCCAAGACCGATCATTTCCAGTTCTCAAAAGAACCCTGTGCTGAGTTCCAATTTGTAGGTGAATGAAATCAGACCAACGAATCAAAGGCCCAGTTCTGTTCCACTTCCACCCCACTTCCTCACTCTTAAAGGTCACTGACAATTAGTCAGAATTTTAAATAAAAATTAAAAGTGGAAAGCACTGCAAATTATCATATAAATTCAGGTGTCCTGTAGGAAAAAAAAAATAATTCAGGTCTTAGGATTCCCATTTTTTGACACTGAAGAGATCTTGAATTCACTCACAAGGCTAAAGGTTAGAAGGTGGGCTTGTAAGGCTGGTGTTCCATGGGTCCCCAGAGTTCCTGTCTAACTCTATTTTTCACTGAAATGCAAATACAGAAGCTCCTTATCATAGGACGGGCTTATTATTTTAACTCTGCCTTTTCTTGTAAAAGGTCTGTGACTAAGGGATTGAGGGACTAGAGAACAAAGCCCTTCTCCTCTCCTCAGTATTGTGTACTTATGGGAGAAAGATGTGTTTACTTACGTTCCTCTGCCTACTGGGCTCAACCTTTACATGCAGAGTTTGTACATATAATAGGATTTAGAAAGTGTTTAAGACTATTTACTCAGATTTAAAGGGAGAATGATATTTGTATTCTACCTGTGAAGTAGTTGATATTCTTCCAAAGTCAAGGCTCGTAGAATAATACATTTGTTGTCCCTACAATATGAAATTTCAACACAGGCCTTTGGGGCTACAAGAAGAGCTAGGACATACACCCTGTGGTTCAGGGGCTGAGTTGACAGAATCTTTATGAAACACAGGACATTATCTCCCAGGAAACTTCAGCCTAAAGAACCCATGGCACAGAATTTACTAGTAGAATTTAGTAGAATTACCCTTCTTATAACATGGAATATCACTTTGCACTCTGGCCATAAATGACTCTATTTAAAATAAAAGCGAGGAGCCTGACATGGTTGTTCAGTGGGGAAAAGCACTTATTGCCAAGCCTGATGATCTGAGTTGGAGCCCTAGAACCCACATGGTGGAAGGAGAGAACTGACTTCTGCAAGTTGTGCTCTGAAATTCACACAAATACCATGGGCATGCCCTCGCCCACGGTAAATGTATTAATTAAAAAAAATCAAAGTGAGTCTGATTAACTCAGAAATAATGAAAGCCAACTTCTTTGTCTCTCTTTTTAATATATCCATGAAAATCAATTCAGCTTTCTAGGATCCTTTTGCCAAGAAACCCAGCAATCGTGCTTTGGAACATTTCACTTCTACCTCTCTGTGGTCAAACTTTTCATTAGGATGTGCATTAGTGAACTATAGGGGATGATTTCTTTCTGTGTGTGTGTGTGTGTGTGTGTGTGTGTGTGTGTGTGTCTGAATGGACGAAAGAGAAGATTTTGACTGTACAACTAGATTCTGTAACTGGGAGTCCCAAGGCGAACCATTGTTTGTGGGGTGTGGGGTGTAATCTCTTGCGTAATTCAAAAACTCAGTGAGTGTCCACAGAAGAGGAAGAGAAATATTTCTGATGCTTGCCTTCACTCCGCATACATTAGAAAAGGAAATGATGTTAAACCACGATGAAAATGTTTGCTTTGCCAAATGCTGTATAGATGACCTTGGACAAGTTACTTGATATCTTCAAATCTTAGTTGTCACATCTCTCAGATGGGGGCAATAGTCTTACTTCCGAGGGTTCTCTATTAAACGAGATAACGTGTGCAAAGGGCTCCACCGAGGAGCTACTCTAAAATATTAGGCCTTTTTGGTCTTCCTCTAGCTTTGATAGGGTGATTTGAGATTGTAGGATGATAGGATAATTAACTTGGAGCAGTTAAAAGAAGTTCAATTGTTTAAATAGCCTTATCACCATAACATAAATATTAAGAAATACTAGGTTAGAAAGGCAAATTCAAAAGGTTCCCAACCCTATCTTATTGATACTGTCATCAAAAAATGATGAAGACCAGTAAGTTAATGTCCTTTTGTAATTTAAGGAACGTACCCCTGGCAATTTTTTCTAATATGATTAGAGAATCTAGGGTTATTTTCTTCTGTGACTTTCCCTAAAAGATAGACTTGTAATGAAAACCTCAGTTCCATTATTACTTTAAATCAATCTTGTCACAGATATGGACCATCCAGAAGGTTTGAGGTAAGCCAAGTAGATCTCAAGTTGCTATTTTCAGTTTTTCTAGTAGCATGACTTATGGTGAAATTGGAATTGGTAAACTTTTCTGAGAAGTAATTGGAAAATCAGTTCATTGTGCATTAAGTAGTATTTGGGGTGGGAAACAAAAGACTTAATGTTCTTTCCAAGAATGATGTGTGCGCCCTATTAAAATTAATAAAACCTTATCAGTAGACTAATTTCTGTTCCATCAGAAAGTGAAAAAGCTTAAAGATAAATCAGTAAGGTCATATTAGAAAAACATTTAGGGATCTGTGTGGTTCCCGTGTGATTTACAGTGCTTTAAGATTTAGCGGTAAAAATGAATGTATTAGTATTTTGTTCATCTCTCAGAAAGAATTGTTAGAATTACTTCTTTTGTTCTCTTTGCAAAATTGTGGTGGTGATGAAATTAAATCATGAGTAAGAAACTTTTTATCAACTGTAAAATTGATTTTAAACAGTGACAATAACAAAAATTTGTTTTAGATGTAGCTCTGTAGTTTAGTCCTACTTTTAGAAAATTGAAAGATTTTCTGTCTGTTGAATAACATCAAATCATACCTTTACTAATATTTAAAATGTTTATACTTTATAGAAAATAATGTTTAAATGAGAAAAAAGATGGGCTTTGCAGAGATTGTAGACGCAGCTCAGTCATGATTGCTCGTATTCAGAAGCCCTGTGTTCAGTCCCAGTACTTAAAAAACCCCAGTTGAGTCTGGAGAGATAACTCAGCGGTTAAGAACACTGAATGCTCTTGCAGAAGACCCAGGTTCAAATCCCAGCACCCACATGGCATCTGACAACTGTCTGTAACTCCAGTCCCAGGGGATCCGACAGCCTCTTGCATGACACGGGTGCACTTACATGGAGGCAATACACTCATACATATAAAATAAAAATAATAAATAAAATATTTTAAAAACCCAGTCAATAGGCCTGTTTGGTGAAACCTAGAAAGCTCCTCTGAGATAAGAATGCATTTTTTAAATTTAATTCAGTTTTATTTTTCGGTCTTTTTGAGTCAGGGTCTCCCTGTAGCTGTACTGGCCTGGAACTTGCTATGGAGATCAGATTGGTATCAACCTCAGAGATCCAGCCCCTCTGC